TGGTGGCATTGGTCACGTATTTTGACAAATACCCTTGTACAGTGATTCCGCAACCGCAAATACTCGATGCCTATGTGCCCTAACAGACCAGCTACGCTCCGAATTTTGTGTAATAGGGATCCCTCCGGCTCGCGGATTTCTCATCCTCATGTGATAATGACGGATCGCACAGACCAACGGTCACATCGTCGAGTCAGAGTCACTTATCGGAAGCTGTTTTTAGTTATTTCCTTTCTTTCTTGTCGTGTAGACGGAATAAAGCCGCTGTGCAGGAATGACTTTGAAAACAGCCTATCAACATATGGGTTGAGGCGATCACTTTGAAGTGGCTCCTCGAGCTTGTGATAGAATGGCCTACAACAGCATCTTCTCTCGTCCTTGACACGCTCCTCTGCTTTGTCCTACCGAAAAGGGTGCGGTCTCTGTCACCGATGTCTCATGCGCTATGGTAAATCTTTGTCCACTCATACGAGGAGTGCGAGGTGCACTTTTCATGTGGTCGGTTCTCGCCTGAACCTGCCGTTTTTTATGAAAGACACTTAATCAGTGATTTTATCAGAAGCAAAACAAGCGAATAGCAGACTTCTCTAGGAATCCCCTGCATCGGTAACCTCCGCAACTCACTGTAGGTCAAGCCGTGTTCAAACTACGACTTTGATGGAGCTAGAGTTGCCTGCCGCATCCTTAACGCGACGATTAGTCAGCGTCATTTCGGAGCTCGCATTATTGTCATTCAAAGGGTTCACGCGTGCGAGCTGTCAAAAGAACTGGGGGGGTCTAGGAACTACCAGAGGCTCCTTCTTGAGCATTTGAAGCCTACTGTACCTGCATTTCTTCTCACTGCATTCTGTGGGATGGTGTTAGATGGCACGTCAGGCCGTGTGCAATCTGAAGCTAACCAGGAAAAGTCAACAGGTGAGCCCGGCCATTCCCATGAGGTGCACACCTTTGTACGCGCCTTCAGACGTGAACTCAAATCTACCTTCAAAATTTGCGGAACGAGTCTCTGAACGGAGTTATGGAGGGTTTTATTTGCGCGTGGTTGTTTTACATGCTATCGCGAGGATAACGCTGGATAGTTCCATACATACTGTGGAAGAGTCAACATGACATGTGGCAGCGTGCATCAGGTAGCGCGCGGGGTTCCCAGGCTAGAGGTCGTGAGATCGGTTCCCGTAACCTCGCCCTTTTCAGTTTTGTTTGCGGAAGTGTAGACTGCGTTGTGGCCTGAAAGAGTGGCTCGGCGCATTGTTTCATCCCTTTGCTAACAATTACACCGCAAGTTTTTTGGGCCAGAATGATTTAAGCCTGTGGTGGTGATAATCGTGATTCAAGCGGGTCTAAATTGCCGGTATGGCGGGGTCTGGGCGGGTAAAACACTGACTGATATTTCGACTGACTTGGCAACATATGGGCTGATGTTACCTGGTATATCTTCGGCAGCGAGACTGGGAGCTCACCTACGCATCCGATCGACTGTGCTGCGCAACTTGCGAATTTCCTAGGCCCAGTAATAAGGAAAATGATGAAAGCTGGAATTCAAAGAGTGACCGAGTGGCGTGTTTGTTCCTCCGCGCGAAGAAGGCATGGCTCAAGGACTTCAGGTTTGAAACTATTTTCAATTCAGTCTCGAATTATGTTCTATTCTCAGCTCCAGTCATCGAACGGGGGTTAGTTAGGGCTTATGGGGTAATAGTACGTCTGTGTCGCTGTTGCTACCGCAGGGTCACGCCCTATACTAAACCTAACTCCCACTTTTTGACGCGGGCGAGGAATGTTTCGGCTTCTGAGAACTCCAGATTCGCTGGTGGAGATTGCCGTCGCTATGGTAGGTTCCGACGGCCCTGAAGACGAAGATGATAGCTATTTTGGCACGAGGATGTGTATTGCGCTACAGATGCCAACGCTCCGGTGCCATCGCGCCTTCAGAGAAAAAAACAGTGGAGAAAAACCCCCGTACCTCCAACGTTTTAGCACGAAGTCGTGACTTTCGCGCACAATTTTGAAAGATAGTTTTGAGCTCGAAGCCGTCTCGAGGCGAGTACAGCGATGTGCACCTAATTGCAAATGGCCGGGTCAACCTGTTGACCTTTCCTGGTAAACAATAAGTAGAAAGAAAGAAAGAAAGACACAACGGTGACTTGACTCGCTGAAATTGATTGGCTTGTTCTTGCGATATCATCTGCTGAGCGCAACGCGCAGTAGCTTGTGTCCAGCGGTGCTGTTTGAAGGATTGCTGTTTGCGGGGCTGGGGAAACGGCTGTTGTCGGCCTCCTCCCCTACTTCCGTAAGGATAAAAACGGATGAGATTAGAACTTGCCCCTTGTGGGGCGGCTTCCCTCAGAAGACGGTGGAAACAAGTCCGTGGGGGTGGTGTCTCTAAGGGTGAATCGGAAATCAACCGCAATCCAATCAGGGACCAGCGCTGACCAGACATCCAGGCCATAGGAGACGGACAAGAGAATCGTAAATTGCCGCTTCGCCGTGCGCGGCAATGAGCGCGACGTCTGCTTAATTTGCACTGCCCTTTCCATTGGAGCAGTGGGCTTCATGTAGACAAGGACATGATAGACACTTATGTCTGTTTTTGGTCATACATTGTCTATTCTCGACCAATACCACCCTAAAATCGTCGTCATTAGCAGGCGCGACGTCGCACGCGACGCCCACTGAAGCGGTGAATTATGATTCTCCTGCCACATACCCCAGACCCATAAGCTGGCAACGCTAAACAATTGGCACTTGAAAGCTGATTGTTAATCTTTTGCCGATCGCTCGCTTCACCCATTGTTTTCCACACGTTTAACTCATTTCGAGAGGCTAACGCTCATCAACATCCTTGTTTACCTCTGAACTTCCTCTCCACTTCAATGGGATAAATACATATCAGTTCAGATACAACCTCGAACGATGCAAAGTTTGCGACGAGAAGGCCGATTGCGAGCTTTGCGCGCATTGCGAACGAAAAGCCTGCAAAGAATGTCGCCAGACTCACATGGATATGTTGAAGAGGGATTTGGCAAGACTGCTCAATCAGGTAATTCGTACCAGTTTGAGCACTGGGTATGGCCAAACGTCAATCGAACCATTACAGGTGCGCCGACTGTCAAATCGAATCATCGAGGCGTCCGATGGACTTTCAAAAGGACTGGAACTGCTGGCTCTGAATTGCGAGACAACCAAGGACGAGGTCAAAGAATACTTTCACAGGTCTCCGATTTCCTAACAAATATCAAGTGTCAGCGTTCGTTTGCCAAGTGTCAGTATGCATGTCATATTTCCAGACATCAGCGTGATTTGAAGAAACGCGAAGATGCGTTCCTTAGTGAAATCGACACATTTCACGCGACTGAAAGTCGTCTAATGAGCAATCTTCGCGATGTACTCGAGATCGAATCGTCAAATATGAGTGAAGCTGTAGCTCGGCTTGACGCTGTTATCAAGGTACGCAGGCTGAAGCTTCGAACAGGGTATTTTTGAAAATGAGAATTGTTTAGGGCGAATGCACACTTGAGGATGCTGAGTTAGTTCGACTGAAAACGACGTTTGCTGAAGGACTTGAATATCTCCGAAACTTTCAGGTACGGTGTCAATTCGAGTGCTTGCACTCGGTGGTGGTTTTGATTCGTTTCCGATTTTTGCTTTCCGAGCTGCGAGAAACCAATCAACTCTCTCTCTCGCTTGCAGTTGCTTTATTCAAATTTGCTTACCTTCTTACAAATCATTATTTAAGCCAGATGCAGATGAGCTCTTCAATCGAAAACTACGCTTTTCGGCCGGAGAGGACGCTGCCAGACTGCCTCAGGCGATCACTACCTGTGGAGAGTTGTGTGTACTTGTACCGCAATTTGCAGGGAGGTAGGTCATACTGGACTGTATCGTCCAAGTCAAGTAGGTGTTCATGAGTAGTACTACGCTATCATATAAGGTAACAAGACAGTAGGTATAGATTAACGTAATCTACTGCCAATAACAAACTCTCTTCGACTCATCAAGTACCTGCGGTGGCTTAAAGGCACTTCCGCAACAAAATGGGGCTATGACCTCTCAAATGCGTCAGACGATCCGGAAGGCGATTGCGGAGACTGCGCTCCCTTCAAAAAGAAAAAATTGGCAAGAACTGCGCTGAAAACCAACTAAGGCATATGGGCACCCCTCTGGGCCCATGACGACCCCATCAGGCTCCCTACCTGCCAGCTAGCATCCTATCTCTTTCCATTCCGTACGGTGAGAGTGAGGTGTTAAGATGAAAGAGCTGATATCGTTATGATAACGACGAGTGGAAATTCGTACGAACATGCGCTTTCTTATTGGCAATCGCCCACCGTACAGATCTTGAGGTTCGATATCGGAGTCCTATCTAGGGCTATTTTGGGACTGTTTTTTTTGGCTTCTCTTCTCCTATTCAGTTACCTAGCATCTTGTCGTTTCGCGTCTTGAGCTACCCCGTTCCCCCCAATCCTGTGGTCGCGGGCTTTGCCTCTTCAAACTCGCACTCGTTTTTATCTATGAAATCCGACTTTTTAAGGACTGTTCTGTTTTATTTCCCAAATGAACCCGCACTTCTTTCCGAAGACGCGGCTCTTTATTAAGGGCAACATCGTGCTACACTCTCCTATTCCGAAGATGGGGTGGTCATGGTTGCGTAACTTGTTTGAACTTGGCTTCGACTCGCCGATCTGCAAAAGGCGTGGATACTTCAGCTTCGGGATAATTGTAATCATCTAATTGTCTCATATAGAATTGTCCCATAAAATGCGCATCCTAAATTTCCAAATGAATAGAAACAGTACCACAGTGGCGGGTTCTTCCGTTTCGCGGGCGGTGGGGGGCCGCTGCACGCAGTCGGAAGAAGAGGGTGAACATTTTATATCCCAGAAACGGAGAGCCCGTGGCTGCGTACTTCATTTTAACGTGGCGGCAGCTGCGCTTCTGGACGGATATTGCAGTTTCAGAACAGTTGCGGACTTTGTCCAGTACAAGCCAGGACAGCATTTGTGTCGAATTGAAATATCCCACGAACAACGCATTTTACACCAAGTGTTCAAGTAAAGCACGCCTACTTCATTGCTGTGATGTGCAGTGTCTGACCGAAGGGGTGGAGCCACTCGGACAAATATGAACATCTCATGGATGGACACCTCCTCTGCAAGAGCTAAGAGGAGGGGCGTGCCTATAAAGGAAGCGCAATAGCTGACCACCTAGCACATTTCGGAGAAAAGAATTGATTTTCTATGGAATCAATATACGTAAATTATAGGCATAAGCCGAGATATATTCAACTCAATTCTACAGAGCTATTCACATGGGGTCTCGATGCCAGGCGCCCTACTTTGAAGTCATTTATTCCCTTCTCCGGTGTCTCCATTCACTTATTTTCACCTGAAATTCCCCAGTATAACCTCCATTTTTGTAGTTGAGAGTCCGTTAGAGCTCCTAACTAGCCGTTCTGGAAGGTTTCTTGAGTCTTTTCCAAATGATACTTGGAGATGGACCGCCAAGTAACAAGCACGGTGATCAAATCCAGATGAGCAGCTCGATTTCACTCAGCAATCTGCTTCTACTCTCCTTTACTACCACTAACGACTTGTTGTAAACACAGCAAAGGGAGCTGGATGTAGAAACGGAAAAAGTCAAGTCAAGTCAGCTATCGCTGGATTCATCTTGTTCTATTGTTGAACCTGGAAATAAGTACTTGTTTTCCGATCTTCAGCTCCTGAAACGTGAGCATTATAATTTTTCAATCTTGGCGTTTACCATTACTGCTTAACAAAACAACGCTTAGCGCATATAATTTCGTGAAAAGCGTCAACGCCTTGGTGCTGTGCTCACGAAGGCTCTCTACGAGAGAGTGTTAAAAAAGAGAGATTTTTTGGACCGAATTGTCACCTGTGATGAAAAATGGATCATGTATGATAACAGGAGACGTTCCGGACAGTGGTTGGATTTGGAGGAACCACCGAGGTAATTTTCAAAGCCGAACCCTCGCGAAAAAAAAATTCTGGTCAGGTTTGGTGGTCATCGGCTGTTGTAATCCACTATAACTTTTCATCACCAGGCCAAACCATCACAGCAGAACCCTACTGTGAACAAACCGACCAATATCGCTGAATAATATTGTCAGCTGCAGCCAACACTTAGTCAAAAGAATGCGGAGAGGGTCCGATTCTTTTGCATGACAACGCCCGCCCACACGTTTCACAAATCACTATCCATAAATTGAACGAATTGGGAGTTGAAGTTCTACCTCACCCACCATATTCTCTAGACCTTTCACCAACCGACTGTCACCTTTTCAGACATTTTCAGAACTTTCCTGCTGAGAAATACTTCATCAAACAGGACCAGGCAAAAAAGACCTTCGCAGATTTCGTGGATTCTCGACCACCCAGTTTTTTCTTTGATGGGATTTCTCGACTGCTGTCACATTGGCAAAAGTGTGCTGATTCGAATGGTGCTTATTTGGATTAAATCCGATGAGTGTTAAGAAAGTTTATGTTTAAAGTTACACCAAAACGCTAAGAACTTCCGGACAACC